AAAGAAAGAAAGAAAGAAAGAAAGAAAGAAAGAAAGAAAGAAAGAAAGAAAGAAAGAAAGAAAGAAAGAAAGAAATTTTTAAAAAGAAAGAAAGAAATCCAGTGCATTTTGTATGATAGAGAATTGGAAGCTATATCACACAGAAAATGATTTCATGTCTATAACTATGATGTTTGCACTGAAAACTAGCTTGAGATTATTGAATTGAACCCACTCATTTATACATGAGGTTATGTGCAAATAGGGAAAGTGACTGGCCAAGGATCACATTGACAGAAGGACAGAAGTATGATTTTATTCAGAGCTCCTGTTCACCACTTCAATTTTTCCATTTGTCATAACATATAAATATACATAAATTAAAAATATGTACCAAGACATTCACAAATTCCCTGCGTTGTGAACTATATCATATAGTGATCTTGTGTCTAGAATAGATTTCTGTATCTAATTTGAAATTGTGTCTCATGGCCACAATCTTTCCATTACTCTAGGTAATTTTTTACATGTTTTAAAAATTATATTTTTCAATTCAACAAATCAGTTTATTAAGTATAATGCATCTTGCTCAATGTCACCCCTTCTATGGCTTACCTCATCATTCCCAACCCTACCCATACCCTCAAGGTACATGAGATAATTTTTATTTACTTCCCTTTGAAAGACAAGCAGCTGAAGCTCAGAGGGAAGGAGAATTTACTGGCTTTACATCAGTGACAGAGTCAAGGCTAGAGTCCGATTCTTGTCCAGGAATGTTCTGAGTTTTTTCTGCTATACCAAATGGCTCCTAATAAAAAATACCTACTCACATAAATCCCTTGGGTGTTAATTTCTATCTAATACATTCGGTACTTATTTCTGGGTGTTTAAAAGGGTGTTTATCTTCCAATTTTAGTTTTCCTACTTGAAGGTTCCCTTTTCTGGTTTTAATAATTAACAAGAGAACTAATTTGAAAAGAAAGTAGCCTTAGGAAAGTTTTATGTATGCTTGTATAAGCCCTTCAGCCATGTATATTTTGGGACTACTTTGCTTTTTAATTTTCCTGGAGTAAAGTGGAACAAATGTAAGTGAAGTGAGCTATCTTTGTTTTACAATGTGTGTTAGTTGTGATGAGTAAAATAGTAAATTAAACAGACTGCATAAATTTGAAAATATTTTTCTCCATCTGTGCATCCCAAATGGACAGTCTAATCTTTGAATAAGAAAGTCATGCAAGCAGTCTGATTTGATGATTTGCTAACAGCAGGACAGCTTTCAGAGATTATTTCTTACTAACAATTATGTACATTTTTATTCAAGTTCCTCTTCAAATTAACCCAAAGTAAACTCAGAAATAAACTTCATTGGCCTTTATTGTTCTTTTATGTCTGATCTTAATTTTCTTGGTGTTTTTTATGGACTCTAGGCTATTAAGCTTGAACACTTGAGTCAATTCTAATATTGTGAATTTCAAATCTATTTAATTACCTCTACATTTATGATTCATTATTTTTAATGTTATTGAAATCACTTGTATGTTAAACTATGCCTTGGAAATAGTGGTCTCCTATCTAGAAACGAGGGGGGGGGGTTGTACTGCAAAGAAACTAGAGATTATCTAATTGGAAACACTTCATTTTATATTTGACATAAAATTTCCCAGATAGGAAACTTAATTAGCCTCAAGTCACACTGCTGGACAAAGTCAGAAGCCAGACTTTTAAGTTCTCCTGTTTACCACTTCAGTTGTTTTCATTTTGCCATAGCATATACTGTAAACATGAAGTAAATGAACACTTAAAATGTTTATAAGATTATAGCACTCTCTATCTGCAGTCTGAAATTGTTTTACCTAGCTATAATCCCTCTATAACCTTAGGCAATTTTCTTATTCCCCTTGAAAGACATGCAGATGAACCTCAGAAACTCGAATTGGCTTTATATTAGGGGCAAAACCAGGGCTAGAATCTCAAGTCCCATGATTCTTGTCTAGGAATATTCTCAATTCTTTCTATTATATTATGTTGAACCCTAATAAAAAGCTTCTCTTCAATTTCTATGCTAACGTGAGAGTGTTGGCCATTTAAATCATGACACTTTCTCAGACAGGTGCCGGTGGCTCACACTGTAATCCTAGCTACTCAGGAGGCTGAGATCTGAGGATCACAGCAGAAAACTCTGGTAAACTGGGGCTAGGAAGGTGGCTCAGTGGTAGAGTGCTTGCCTTGCATGCATGAGGCCCTGGGTTTGATTCCTCAGCACCACATAAGAAAAAAGAAAAAAGCCGGAAATGGCACTGTGGCTCAAGTGGTAGAGCGCTAGCCTTGAGCTGAAGACCTGAGGGACAGCGCCAAGGCCCAGAGTTCCGGCCCCATGACCAGACTCCAAAAAAAAAAATAATAATAAAACTCTGGTAAACTCTTGTCTCAAATTAAGCACCAAAAAGGCTGAAAGTGGCAGAGCACTAGCCTTGAGTGCAAGAGCTTAGGGACAGTGCCCAGGCTACGAGTTCAAGCCCCAGAACTGGCGCATGCACATGCACACACACACACACACACACCACACAAAATTATGTTACTTTTTCTCTGTTTGATTGATTTGATCTAAGAAATTATATAGATACATGTATCATATATATACACTGTATATATGATATATATATAAAATATTACTACATGGTAGGTACTAAGGATGTAGCAAGGATAGAAAAGATATTCCTAGAACTAGCATTTGTATGGTATGGAAGAAAAAAATAATGAAAGATTGAACCAATGAAAGAATGAATACACAAGGATGGATAGTGTTTAGTATAGTGAATTAAAAATTAAGGAGAGTAAAGACATAAATCATGGGTACCAGTAAAATGGGGACAGGAAAGGTTCTCTTAGGGAAGTGACAGTAAAACAGAGCTTCAATGAATGAAGAAGGAAGCCATGAAAATATCAGGAAAAACATATTAGGTAAAGGTCAAAGGAACATTCTTGCCTCTCAGCAAGCTCAGGTGTCTGTTCCTCTGCAGCTATTAAAATAACGACAGGACTAGGAAGGTGGCTCAGTGGTAGAGTGCTTGCCTCGCATGCGTGAGGCCCTGGGTTCGATTCCTCAGCACATAAGCAGAAAAAGCCAGAAGTGGTGCTGTGGCTCAAGTGGTAGAGTGCTAGGCTTGAGCTGAAGAGCTGAGGGACAGCATCCAGGCCCAGAGTTCAGACCCCACAACCGACCAACAAATAAAATAAAATTACATGACTATATGAATTCTTCATATCTGGATATACTCTCCTGCTAAAGTTAATTTATATGTGGACACAGAGCCATATTCCAAAGAGTTCTAAACACTATTTTACACACTATTTTAAACACTATGTGTCACCACTACCACCATGACAACTCTACAAACCACTCCATAAGCAACACTTCAAAGAATCCTGATATTAAAAAAGGCTTTGATTCCTAAATTTTTCTGGGTGCAAGGTTCTTAATAAGTATGGTTTAGGATAGCTGCTGAAAGTGTCAATTCTAGATACAGGCTCTTCAAGACAGTTCTTAGTTCTATAACTTAAAAGGTCTTTGACCTTGGGCAAATTAATTAGCAGTGTCCTCATAACAGGAGCAATAGTGATCTACTCCACAAGGGTATTTGTAGATTTTATTCAATTACTTATATTCAAGGATATAAGAACTTGCTTAATAGAATGTTATTCACGATAAAGGAGAATGGAATTGTCATGTTGTCGTCCATTTTGGAATATAGACCTAGAAATATTAATATGACATTATTATAAAAGTGAGACTATTTCAGGGTAAGCAGCTGGTTTGTGAAGTGCAAAGGAGAGGGTAATGGAAGGTGAAAATATGTAAGTACATTGTATGTATATAGGAGATGAATTTAACGAACATTATATGCATTTATGTAAATACCACAATACAATTCCTTCGTACAATTAACTGATGCCAATTTAAAAAGAGAAAAAATAGAACAAGGGTTAACAGGACTTGATGTAATATTTAGTGAACATATTCCTTGTATATATATAAATGATAACAGAGTAAGAGATACAACACAGAACGGAGGAATCCGTAATCCTTGCTTTCAAGGAATGAAAAGCAGGATATATAAGACAAGGAGCACCTATAAATAGCAACAACATAAACACAATACTTTTATGATCATTTTTTCTTCAGCCTGGCATCTGTACTATACTGATAGTGTTCTGAGAGTATGGGTTGGAATGGGAGGTGGTTTAAAGTTGTGTGTTCTCTCGGAAAAACTTCATGTCTTACAGTATAGCATTGAACCTTTTATGTTGATAGCAACTTCATCCTATTCTATGGAACTCTCATGACCAGTGCCCTACCATCTCAGTCCCTCTGTACCTATATTCCTTCTACTTAGAATGTGCTTCATGTCCTCATAGAGCCAGCAGATATGGTCTCTATTTGTACTTATTTGCTTTCCTTCACCAAAATAGATTGTAAACTCACTGAGTGCAGGGTCCTAGACTGTGGTGGTCATTGTATCTTAGCATTTCTACATCAGAGAGAAATATTTGTTAAACTAATGATGATGGCAATAGTTATAATAAGCATAATATTGACATTATTGAATATGTGTCTAACTTGCAAGGTCAGTAGTACTTTTCACATTTCACAAATGACATGATGTAACTTGCCTAAGTCAAATCTGCTAGCAGATGAAAAAATGAGAGTTTGAACTGGAATAACTACCAGTTCAAATGAAATCCATGGCTCTTTTGCTTTATTTACCTTTTTCCTTAATACTCAGTGATGCTTAGTAAATATTTTGGAACAGAGGTTGTTGGACAGATTATTTTCCTCTTTAAGCAAACTAGACATTGTCTACAACTAGAATTTAATTCTATAAGTTGTGAATGTTATCATGTCAGAACATGTTTCTAAGGACATTATTACGGATTTTTATTCTATTATATTAGCATAATTAAGCTCCAGAATAAGTAAAATTTCAAGTTATCACCAGTTCTTCATTTTTTTTGGTCAGTCCTGGGGCTTGAACTCTGGGCTTGGGCACTGTCCCTGTGCTCTTCAGCTCAAGGTGAGCACTCTATTGCTTGAGCCACAGCACCACTTCCAGTTTTCTAGTGGTTTATTGGAGATAAGAGTCTCACGGACTTTCCTGCTCAGGCTGGCTTTGAATTGCATTCCTCAGATCTCAGCTTCCTGAGTAGATTACAGGTGTGAGCCACTGGTGCCCAGCTAGTTCTTCAAAGCTAAGATAAAGTACCTGGGAAAAGAACTCATTATATGAAAAGGAATGACTAAACTATGATCCTGCTCAATTACTTCTGTTTATTGCTTTACAATCTCTCCCAAATAAAAGTTGTTATCAGCACTATATGTATATCTAATTGTATTTTAACATCTTTTAAACATGAATGCTGCATTACCTCTTGCTGAATTAAAAACATTTTTAAAACACCTGTAATGTAAAATACTTTGTTTCTACAGATACGGTATACAGAAAATTCCAGATCAATATAAAGTGGATTTTCCGGCCATTAGAACCACACAATTTGAAATGAAAGGAACTGGTAATTTCAGACAATTCCAAGTTTACTTATGAAGAGTTTGAGCTTTTGTAGTAATTCATGTCAGTTCATGTACCTATCGTCAATCAATTCCTACTGGTATGGTTGGAAATACTGGCTGGGGCAGGGGTAAGGAGGTGCTTTCATTTTCTATTTTGCCTGTATTCTAGTTCTAGTTATTAACATTGAGGAAGTGGGCCCTTTTTTTCTGGTCTCATGTTCTTTTCATTTTGTTTAAGAGTTCTAGTCTCCTGATATGCTTGGCTTGCTCAGATCCTTTCTAGAATTCTGGTTTTAGGAGAAACAATCAAGATGAGTTGAGTAGAACCAGAAAGACAAATAAATGATTCACTCAAGCTCCTCTGATCAGTTAACAACATCTTAAAGATATGTTTCCTTCTCCCTCTTCTCCCAATGGGCTATTTCTCATCAATAGGAAAGAAATTGTATGAACTATATCATTTCTAAGTAACAATCAAAGTGGGACATCACACATCCTTACATGTAGTTATATGTCTTGTCTGGCACTATGAACCCTTCATGAACAGAAATCACATTTATTTATTTTCTTATTTCCTTATCTATATTATGCTGATATTGGGGCCTGAACTTAGGAACTTACATTCTCACTTAGCTTTTTCACTACAAGCTGGCATTCTACCACTTGGGCCACACCTCCACTTCCTAGAGATCTTATCTTAATCACCTTTTCTGTGGTTATAAAATTCTTCATAGTTAGATCTCATCCTGCGGCATTTATAATTACATTTGACATAATATAGCTCAAAGAGCAAATAAGAAAAATAGGTGATCCAGCAAAACTGCTCATTTTAAATCATTAATTTGTTGTAACCAATAAACCGAAAACATTTAAAGTTACCAAACTAAACCCAGATAAACAAACCAAACTCAGCTGTACTATGAGGGGAGAAGTCTTCTTAAGAGATGTAATATATAATAGCTAATTGGAAGCCTAATTAATACTGATGGGTTGAATGAATGATTTATGAACTTTTAAAATACTTAGTTTCATAGAATGTTTTTATTTTTAGACTTTATATTCCTTTCCTTTTCCCTTAGTCTCTTTCACTTTTTTCTTTTTTAATAGATGACTCTTCTAAACAAATTCTCAGGACAAGAAGAGATCTGCAACAGAGCATAAAACAACAAGGTAACATAAAACCATCATATAATCTTAAAAACATTAGGAGTACGTCACTAAAAACCTCCAGAAGATGGGGCTGGGAATGTGGCTTAGTGGTAGATGCTTGCCTAGCATGTATGAAGCCCTGGGTTCGATTCCTCAGTACTACATAAACAGAAAAAGCTGGAAGTGGTGCTGTGGCTCAAGTGGTAGAGTGCTAGCCTTGAGCAAAAGAAGCTCAGGGACAATGCCCAGACCCTGAATTCAAGCCCCAGAGTAGAGGTCTAGCTCCTCTAAGTGACAAAAATTAATAAAAAAAAATCTGTTTTATTCATTTAGCCTAATCTGAGAAAACTGAACCTTCATTACTTCTGTCTCTAAAATATGACATAGTAGTTTTATTTGTCCCAAATATATCCTCTCTACAAACATCATGTACAATTAACATCATATTCTTCCATTCTAAATGTATGATTTGATTAACTTTGGGGTATAACTATAAACCTATTTATATATTTCATACATTTATACTATTTTTACATTTATACTATTTCATACATTTAAAAATATATAGTATTTAAAACTATGATCTAAAATATAAATCGAATGGAAATTTCTAATTTACAGATAATTCACATTTTATAGTAGAAAGAACATCAAACCTAGGGGTGTGTGGCCTAAGTTCAGTCAATAACCATGCTTACAGAAATGTAGGAATTTCTATATGATGACAGTAGAGTGTTCCAGTTGTATGAGTTACTGTAAGTTAACCTTCATTCTATGTTGTAATGATCTGAAAAAGGGGGCACTGATTTAGCTGAGCACTTACAGGGGCTGTGCAGTATGCCATATAAAGCATTTTGAAAATAGGATATTTAGCTTCCAGGAGGAAATTCCTACAGCGCTATCTTCAATTATCGGAAGGTTTCTTGTATATTTAAGTGTGTGTGTGTGTGTGTGTGTAAGTGCATGTGCACGTGTGCTCAGGCTTGAACTCAGGGTCTGGGCCCTGTCCCTAACTTTTTGTGCTCAAGGCCAGTGCTCGACCACTTAAGCCATTGCTTTACTTCCCAGCTTTTTTTTTTTTTTGGTGTTTAACTAGAGATGAGAGTCTCAAGGATTTTTCTGCCCCTGCTGGCTTCCAATCATGAACCTCAAATCCCAGCCTCCTGAGTGGCTAGGATAGCAGTCTGAGCCAGTTTATTTAATATATTTTTACTCAAAAAGTTCTGATCCCAAAGTGCTAGTTTGAAAGATTAGGATTTATCTTAGTTGAAGGAAAAGGGTATTGACCTCCAAATGCTAGTTTCAGGAGACCTTTCAAACCACATAGTGTGAACTGGAATCCTCCGTCATCCTGGAGTAGTTGCAAGGAAAAGCAGGTCAGCTTATGGCTATTGTGGCTAAGAGCTCACTTGGCCATGGAAACCAAGAATGCCTTCAGATTCTTTCTCAGCCTGAGATGGTAACTGGTTTGTCACTATTTCAGCTGATAAATACAGACATGCAGTGCTAAAGAAATGCTGTTACGATGGCGCTCGTCGGAATGAGGATGAAACCTGTGCCCAGCGTGCCGCCCGGATTACCATAGGGCCACACTGTACTAGAGCTTTCAGTGAATGCTGTACCATCGCAAAAGAGATCCGAGATAAGGATACTTTTAAGAAAAAACACCTCCATTTTGGACAGTAGTGTAAGCATTACATTTTCAGGGTATGGGGGTATATAGCTCATGGGTAGAGCATTTGATTGCAGATTAACTATTACATTTTCTACTAGAATTCTGCCCAATACCAGTGATTTTTGTATAACTTAATACTTTTTTAAAAAGGGCATTTTCATTAAAATTGAATATTGAAAAGTCGAAACTTAGACATGCCCATAAGGAAAAACGTTATCCTTCTTGGAAATCCATGCAAAAGAGGTGCAGAAGAAAGCAGACTACAGAAACCCAGATTCAAGACCCAGTAAAAAGCTGCAGCCAAGTTACTGTGTAAACTTAAACAATTCTTTTTCTTTTTTCTTTTCTTTACTTTTTTTTTTTTTAATGAGCTCTTTAGCTCAAAGCTAGCGCTTTACCACTTGAGCCACAGCACCACTGCCACTTTTCTGGTGGTTTATTGGAGATAAGAGTCTCATGGACTTTCCTGCCTGGGCTGGCTTTGAACTGCGATCCTCAGATCTCAGCCCCCCGAGTAGCTAGGATTACATGTGTGAGTCACCAGCGCTGGGCTGTACTTTTTAATTCTTTTGTCTCTTCTATATATCATCTTTAAGATACAAACAAAGACAGGCACCTCCGGTTTTTACTGTAATCATTTTGTTTAAGTTTATATCTCTAATATTGTCCATCTAAGTGAATACATTACTACAAAAATATTTGCTATGTTAAGTTATCCAAATCATACTAACAGTTATTTTATTATAAAAAAAACTTGTGTTTAGCTTCCTTTAACACATAACACCATGTTAATGACTAATAAGAAGTATGAAAATGTAACTGTAATGGGATACTGTTAGAGAAAAAGGAATGTTATTCCAGGCATTTGGTGATCTAGACTCTGGTAATAGCTGTGCCTAGGACAAAGAACTTAACCTCTCTGAAAAGCAACTAAAGCAAAACAGAGATGGGAGTGTGGCTAAAGCATCAGGCCCTGAATTCAAATGCTAATACTGACAAGCAGAAAGAGAGAATACTATGAAGTTTAAATGAAATGGTAAAAATTGAAAATGCCAAGAGTTCACCTCTGAGTTATTATGGAAGCTATACAAAATGAGAGCTGCTTACATTTACTCTAGAGAGCCCTAGATTACTAGATATTTTTGTTGTATTGGTCTATGGATAAAGTGCTTTAAAAAGTTACATTAGGCTGGGGAAGTGGTTTAGTGGTAGAGTGCTTGCCTACTGTGCTTGAAGCCCTGGGTTCAATTCCTCAGCACCACATAAAAAGAAGAGAACAGGAGTGGTGCTGTTGCTCAAGTTTTAGGGTGCTAGCCTTGCGCAAAAGAAACTCAGGGACAGTACCCAGGCCCTGAGTTCAAGCCTAGCAAAAAAAAAAAAATCTCATCCAAAATGCAGGAAAATCTCATTCAAAATGCAGGACTGTAATTTTTTTCAATCTCAGTAATTTGAAAAAAATTCTTATTATTTTGAAAAACTTAACAAGGATATCTTATTGTCTTTCAGAGTAAGGATTCACGAAGATGTCAACTTCTTTCCTCTCCTGGAATATACTCAATGTCATTATTAAATGCTTTAATTTTTAAGTAACGCACATATTTTCTATGCTGTTAATTTTACTAAGTATCATACAGCAAAATCAAACTTAAATATGATGGTCATACCTTTTCATTGTATTTTTGAAGCAAATAGCCTTGGTTGCATGTGAAGTCATTTATCGCATTTTAAATTTATTACCCTTTTTCACGAATGAGAACAAAGTAGCTAACACTAAGTTCACCAGAACAGCTAAACCACCAATCCTTACTGTACCCAAGAAGCCTGCCCTTCACACTCTCAGAAGTCAAGACCCATCACACCCTGACCACTGTGAAGATTCTGAGTGGAGAGTCAGGACCATGTTGGATAGTGCTCACTGCTCTGTGTATGGCCCTGCCCTAGACATATCTGTAATTACTTACCATACTGGGTCACCACAAGGTGATGGTGCCAAGAAATGAAGGCCCCTAAAATGACATCATGTTATAACTATAATTGTTTCAATCAGAATGCTGGAGATAATAAAGTATTTTTCACTCACGTTGATAAATTCTCATTGATAATTTTTTTTCCTTCCAAATGGCTCGCAATTTAGTCTTCGATTTACTCATTTGGTCTGTTCTCTATACTGGGTAAATATTACTAGAGTTCTCCCTTTTAATTTTTATGAAATTATATTCATTAACACAATATAATTTTTTATCAAGACTTTGTTTTTTTCCATTTAATTTTGTCTTATTAGAAGTGCAGCTGTTAGTTTTGATATTTTTGGCTACCTATTATATGACAAGTTTAATTTGAAGGTTTTCTGTACAGATATTAAAATATTCAGGTTTAAGATATGGCAGAGGTGTGTAATTAAGTGGTAGACCACCTCCCGAGTCAGTGCCAGCTCTAGGTTCAAACCCTAGCATTAAAAAAAAAACACTTAAAAAAGATTTAATACATCATTTTGACTTGAACACGTTTTCTATGTGTCTTTCACATGGTCCTTTTTACTATGTTTGTTTCTCATAGTAATATTTATTATGACTGGAAACAAGATTTGAAGTGTATTTCTTGAACAAAGGGCAAGATGAATACCAAGATGAATAAATATAACTAAATGGCTTGGAATGTCTTTGGCATCAAAATGTCATGGTTAAACTATTCAGCTTCAGTTCAACATTCTGTATGCAATAAGGCAATGAACTACAGACAGTATCCGGGCAGCTTCCTGTCTAAAACAGAATTAAGAGATCATTTGGGATTCAAAGAACATTTTTATATCTTCAGTAATGTCACATATTATTTAGTAGATGAGTAATGCCAAAGCATGAAGAGAGTTGACACAGGTTAAGAAGGCCTCACTAAGGAAGAAGTACACTGAGATCTTTAAGACAAGAAGCCGGTTGTGTGAACATCCAAGAGTGAGAATATTAAGCTAAAAAATTCCAGAAGTCTTACAGGAATAAGCTTGGTGGGTTTGCGAAATGAAGACTTTATTATCAACTTCTGTGTTTCCTACACATGAATTTCATCTTGAAATAACAGAAATAGATCCTGAACAGTAGAGGGAGACATAAATATTCAAAAAAATCATTTTGATGCTGTGTAACCAAAATTTTGATCTATATCCATTTAAAAAAATGTTGATGACTTCTAATCACAATATGTTAATAAGACTTTACAACATTAAATTTTAACAATAGTGCTAATGGTTTACATCTATATTGATTAAATGATTTATGTTCTTTATTTTAAAAAAAGTTTGTTCAAGATCTTACAACTTCATAAAGGTTCAAATCAGAATTTAAACAAAGGCAATTATACTCAAAAGCTATTCTTTCAACTATGTGAAGTTTGTTTCTAGGTAATACTTTTAAGCTAGTGTTTAAAAATAAATAGTAGACAGGTACCAGTGACAGAGGCTGGTAATCCTAGCTACTGAGATCTTGAGGCTTGTGGTTGGAGAATAGCCTAGCAGAAAAGTCCATGAGACTTTATCTCCAAATTAGCAAAAAGACAGGCTAGAAGTGTGGCTAAAGTGGCAGACAGCTAGCCAAACAACAAACCAAGGAAGCATGAGGCCCCGACTTCAAATCCCATTGTCAGCAAAATAAATAAAGATGATATTATTTAGTGTTTTTTAATATCAATTAGTATGGCCCCATGTATCATGCCTGTAATTCTGGTTACTATGGAGGTAGAAGTTGGAAAGATCAGTCATGATCAGGGCCAGTTAGTGAGAACACCCCCCTCCCCTCACTCGACCTCCCCAGCCATGCCAGATATATATAAGGTGAAATGATCAGGGTTTGAGACCCTACCTGAAAAATAACCATTAGAGACAAGAACTGGATATGTGGCTCGAGTGGTAAAATGCCTTCCTAACAAGTGAGAGGCCCTGAGTTCAAGAAAACTTTAGAAGTACAGAAATTCTTTAAAAATTCTACTTTTTAATGTTGATTCTAAATTTGCTTCTCTGTTCACAGAGATGGGCACAACACACTTAAGAAGTAAAGGACTATCTTGATGAATAGCACATGCCATCTCATGGCTTTTCTGGATGCCACTGTGTAGAACTGTTAAAACCATGTTGTATTTTAGAAAAGGACCTGTGACAAGAAAAAGGTGTCACAATTTTTGAATTATTTTCTTGTAAAGGTGGTATACAGAGAGGTTACAGTTACATAAGCAAGGTAATGAGTACATTTCTTGTTGAACATTGCTATCCCCTTTCTCATTTTTCTCCCACTTTCCTTCCCTTCCCCTCCCCAAGTTGTAAAGTTCATTTCCAACATAGTGTCTTATGAGTATCACTGTTGCATTGGTTCACCCTTTGTCCTTTGTCTCACCATTTTTTAAATTCCCCTTCCCTCCCCAAATCAGATAAACATAAATACAAGACACAGTGTCCCAAAATAGGTCAGAAAAGAAATTTACATCATTTTCATATATAGACTGTGGGCCAAATTTCTCCATAAATATATGGTCAACAGAAAATGAGGTGCTTTTTTTCTTTAATTTGATTTTATTCTAGGAATAAAAATGAGTGTTATTCTAGAATATCAATAGAATTAGAAATAACCACAGGGCAATGAACACTAAATATAGATAGTATAGTATAAACCTAATGCTGTGAGTATTTATTAATAAAAACTCATAATATATTCAGGTCACTAGAGTTTGGTAGGTGTGATCTTATGACCTAGAAAAAGAGGAAAAGTAAAAAGAGGTGGGGGTTCCATTATTCCCTTCAAGAATACACCCCCAAATACTTAAAGACCTCCTACAAGGACCAACCTCTGAAATTTCCACACCCTCCCCAGTGGACTATTCTGAGAAACAAGCTTTTAACACTTTGAAGAACATTCAAGAGCCAAACTATACCTGTTGGTTTCTATTTTGGTGTGATCACTCAAAAAAAAAATCTGCCTGGATTTGGGTAAATTGGTAGAGGAAAATAATTGGAATGAAACAAATAAGCCAAGAGACTTGATAAGAATTGTTTGGTAGTCAATGTCAGTGGTTTGTCAACCATGTGTCCAGGGATCAGAGGGTACACTTGCAGCCTTCTCAAGGGTTATATGGGGGTGGTGCACTTAGAAGAGAATGGATAAGTAGCAGGGATATCCCACTAAATAGCTAAATAAACTTTATTTTGAGGGGAGAGGGCAGCACAAAGAATTGAACTTGTAGTCTTGCACTTGCTAGGCAAGTGCTCTACTACTTGAGCCACAACCCAAGCCCATTTATTTAGTTTACTTTTCACATAGGTTCTCCTGCTAATTTTATCTGAATGGGCCTGTGTGGATCTGATGGTCATTCCATTTCCACTTCTGATGTACCGGGGATTGCAGGCATGAGTCCTCACACTCAGCCTGAAATGTAGTTTAAAATACACTAAAATTTTCTCTCCCTCCTTTTTCCTTTCCCTCTCCCTCTCCCTCTCCCCTGCTCTCTTCCTCTCTCCTTCCTCCAACCAAACCATCTATAAAAGGTATTTACTTTTAAGTTTTCCCAACGTGATATAGTTTGTGCTCCTAATCTTTTTCACACTGATGTTAAGAGAAGGCTCTTGATTTTTTTTTTTTTGGGTCCAGTCGTGGGGCCTGAACTCTGGGCCTGGGCGCTGTCCCTCAGCTCTTCAGCTCAAGGCTAGCGCTCTACCACTTGAGCCACAGCGCCACTTCCGGCATTTTTTCTTTTTGCTTATGTGGTGCTGAGGAATCGAACCCAGGGCCTCAGGCATGCAAGGCAACCACTCTACCACTGAGCCACCTTCCCAGCCCCAAGAGAAAGCTCTTAAATAGACTTGGAGTGAGTGTGCTGGCCTCTGCAGTACTGGTAGTATTCCATGCATAATCCTTACTTTGGTGGATATAATGTACTGATGGTGGAAATAAAGTTCATAAGAATAATGTAAGGCCTGAGACTAGGGACTTGATCCCAAAAGCAGACTGAAGCAGAAATGTTATGTGGTCCTCAGAATCACCCCAGGGGCTGTCTACCACTTATGGACAAAATAACTTCCATGATTTTTCAAGCCTGAATTTAGAATGATTTAATTCTAAGGAGATGGCCTTTGTTTGTCTGGTAGCCTCTACACTACTTAGAAGAAGTTCATGAAAATTAAATGGAGCAATTATGAGCCATATCTCTTCTATGCTGTTCATGTAGGAGGCATCTGAAGTTAAATATATGAAAACAAAAATTTACAAGATATTACTTTTTTGATTTCTAAATTTATGACCCATTACTATTGCTTGCCTCCAAGTTGTTTCCAAATAAAAGTCATATACTAGCTGGGTACCAGTGGCTCATGCTTGTAATCCTAACTACTCAGGAGACAGAGATCTAAGGATCATGATTTGAAGCCAGACTAGGCAGGAAAGTCCATGAGACTCATATCTCCAAGTAACCATCAGAAAACTGGAAGCAGTGCTGTGGCTCAAAGTGGTAGAGCAAAAACATTCAGGGACAGGGACCATGAAAATTTCTGTCAGACCTGAGTGTCTTCTCCTTTAGAAATACAGCATTTGTATTAAAAAAATTAAGGGGCTGGGAAGGTGGCTCAGTGGTAGAGCACTTGCCTTGCATGCATGAGGCCCTGGGTTCGATTCCTCAGCACCACATAAGCAAAAAGAAAAAAGCTGGAAGTGGCGCTGTGGCTCAAGTGGTAGAGCGCTAGCCTTGAGCTGAAGAGCTGAGGGACAGTGCGCAGGCCCAGAGTTCAGGCCCCACGACCAGACCCCCCCAAAAAATAAATAATATAAAAATATAAAAGTAAAAAAAATTAAAAGACATTTTTAAAGATGAAGAAAAACACACCTTTGAGTGACATTGGGAAAACAGAATTTTTTTTTATTTAATTTTATTTTATTTGTGAACATACTGTACAGAGGGGTTACAATTACATGGGCGGGATAATGCGTACATTTCTTACCAAGAATTGCAGCCTCCTCCTTTGTTTACCCTTCACATCCCTTCCCAGCCTCTCCCCTCCCCCCCCAATCCCAATCCTTCTCCTTCCCCCCCTTCCCCCCCCCCCCACCGAAATTGTAAAGCTCGTTTTGGGCATGACAACTTGTACTTCTCATTGTTGCAACAGGTCCACCTGTATCCTTAAACAACTGGTGGGAAAACAGAATTTTTAAGTTGAGAACCAATAAACTTCAGCTCTTTTGAGGACTTTTGAGATCAATAGTCCTTCAAACATTTCCCAGCAGATAAATAATGTTAATAGTTTGAAAATACCGTTCATTAGTATTTACCCTACAAGACAACTGGGCTTTTTTTTTTTTTTTTTGCTGGTTGTGGGGCCTGAACTCTGGGCCTGGGCACTGTCCCTCAGCTCTTCAAGCTCAAGGCTAGTTCTCTACCACTTGAGCCACAGCGCCAGTTCCAGCCTTTTCTGCTTATGTGGTAAGGAGGAGCCTCATGCATGCAAGGCAAGTGCTCTACCACTGAGCCACCTTCCCAGCCCCTGACAACTGGGCTTTTTTGCACTTAAAATTCAAGTATTACTTAGGTTTCTTGCTCTCTCTAGTTTCTTTTCCCGAAAATGAAGGCAAAAGAACTTTGTTTGTTTTAACTTCACCCATCTTTCACAACCCAGCTTAATCATTCTACAGATTTCATTTTAGAATAAGTAGGCTAGATGGCCAGGCAACACAGTGGCAGACTTTTTCCACTTTAATGTTATATGTAAAAGATACGTTTAGTGAAAGTAATATATATCCGATTTTGTTTTGTGTTCCTTACTTCCCTGTAATAAATTTAGGACCTGGTTAACTCAAAGCAAGAAATGCCAATGTGAGGGCTGGGAAGGTAGTTCAGTGGTAGAGTGCTTGCCTTGCATGCATGAGGCCCTGGATTCAATTCCTCAGCACCACATAAGCAGAAAGAGCCAGAAGTGGTGCTGTGGCTCAAGTGGTAAAGTGTTAGCCTTGAGCTGAAGAGCTGAGGGACAGTGCCCAGGCCCAGAGTTCAGGCCCCACAACAACAACAAAAAAAAAAAGAAAGAAAGAAAGAAATGCCAATGTGACCATAAACATCTGATTTGTACAAACATGGTTTATTAACATTTATTGACATCTAATTTATTACTTTAAAATAGAATACACGTTAAATACTAAGGTAGAGAAGAGAATTAATAAAAGAAAGATATAAGGAAAAAGTTGGTGATGAAAGAATAAATTTAATTACAAATCTTTAAGATAAATTTTTATTATTTATAAATTATTATTTTTTATTTATAAATTGTTAACAAGACTCCATCATCATGGGAAATTTTGTTCATCTAGTGCTCTTACATTAAAATGATCAAAAATCCTCTCTGAAATGAATGACTTTAAAAACATGCTCCATGTCTGAAACAATGCAAACTTTGAATGGTATTAAATTAATAGATATTGGAAAATATGTTTTTTTTCATGCTCAAAACCAGGCTCAAAGAGAACACCTCAGAGCAAATGCCCCTGTCTGGAGAAGAAAGGTCAGAGGCAATTCAACTTTCTGGTTTCTAGGGTTGAGCCATTCTACAGGGAGAAAAACTCTTTAGAATACTTTTATTATTTGTATTAGTAAAATTAAATCTTTTGAGGGATTAAGAAAATGTCTCAGCAGTATATTGCTGGCAAAGTATGTCCAGGCCATATGTCCAGGCCTCAGAATGAAGGAAACAAATAGAGAGTGAGAGATAAATGAAAGGAAGGAAGGAAGGGAAGAAAGGAAGGAGAAGGAGGGAGATGATAGGGGAGGGGAAGGGAAAGGAGAGGTGAGGGGAAAAAGGAGAATGAAGAGGGAAAAGGAGAAATAAGTCCCTCAGATGTAAACGCCTATAAAATAATTCCTGTCTTTATTTATGGACACAAAAGTGTGTTTGAGTTCCGATTTTGGTTTTCTTGCTTAGATATCTTTCTGTCATTAATAATTAACCAGAGAACAAATTTATCCAAATTCTTCAAGCTTAAGTTTATTTAAAAGAAAAGTAGCTTCAAGGTTTTATGCCCATGGTTTTGTACCACCTTCCGCCATGGTCCTTTGGGAGATATTTTGTTTATTAATCTTCTTGGAGAAAAGTTGGGGACAGGAACAAACGTAAGTAAAGGCAACCCATCTACAGTTTATGACGCATGTTAGTTATAATACGTGAAGAAGTAAACTCAACAGAAATAACTTTGCCCAAATGAATAGATTCATCTCTAAATAAGAAAGCCATGGAAGCATTTTGATTTGGTGAATGGTGAAAAATGCGACAGCTTCTTTAAAAAATTATTTTATTGTAAAGATGCTGTACAGAGGGGTTACAATTACTTGAGTAAGGTAATGAGTACATTTCTTGTTGAACATTGTTACCTCCTCCTTTGTTTTTCTCCTACTATCCCTTTCCTCCCCACAGCTTTTATGAAATTGTTATTTGCAAAACTTCACACATTTATTCCAGTTTCTCTTCAATAAGTTACAAAGTATATTTAAACTTTGTTGGCATTGATAGCTTATTTGTATTTTCTGCTTCATTTTTCTTGGTGGCTTTCATGAATCTCACCACAGTTCAAATAGCTTTGAAAATCTATTGTCATTATTGCCAATGTTATAGGTTGATTCTTCACAGTTTTTGGTGTTATTGAAATTTTGTGCATTTTAAATTTTATCTTACAAATGATTTCTAAAAATGTTTTAATACTGAAAAATAACATATTATCTAATCAAATATTTTCCCTCCCTTCCCCCTCCCTTCCCCTCCCTCTTCCCCCTTCCTCCTTTCCTTCCTCTCTTTTTTCTTTATTTCTTTCTTATTTCTTCCCTCTTTCCCTCCTTTACTCCTTTCTTTTCTTTCTTTCTTTCTTTCTTTTTTTTTTGCCAGTCATGGGCCCTAAACTCTGGGCCTGCGTTCTACCACTTGAGCCACAGTGCCACTTCTGGCTTTTTCTGTTTATGTGGTGCTGAGGAATCGAACCCAGGGCCTCATGCATGCAAGGCAAGCACTCTACCACTGAGCCACCTTCCCAGCCCTCCTTTACTCCTTTCTTCCCTCTCTCCCTTCTTTTCTTCCTCCCACCCTCCCTTCCTTCCTTCTTTCCTTCCTTCCTTCCTTTCTTCCTTCTTTCCTTTTTTCTTCCTCCCCCCTCCCTCCTTCCATCCCTCCTTCTTCTCTTCCATTTTAATATGTCTGATTTAGGACAGCTGTTGAAGGTGTTGTTCTATGATGTTCGATTTCACTTCTTTTGATTTGTTTGTTTCATATCTTAGTAGTTATAAAAAGGGCTTTCGATTCAACACTTCAGTTTATGAGCACAAAGCATCTTAATCAATTCACCCCTTTCATCATTCTCCTCCATCTCCCAGCAGATGTCAGACATGACATTAAATGTTACTTTTATTTTCATCACTGGAGAAAGAAAAGGGGAAGAAAAAAGAAAGAAGAGGGGCTGGGAAGGTGGTGGCTCCATGGTATAGTGTTTGTATGCATGAGGCCCTAGGTTCAATTCCTCAGCACCACATAAGCAGAAAAATCCAGAAGTGGTGCTATGGCTCAAGCAGTAGAGTGCTAGCCTTGAGTTGAAGAGCTGAGGGATGGCGCCCCGACCCAGTGTTCAGTCCCCATGACTGACAAAAAGAAAGAAAGAAAGAAAGAAAGAAAGAAAGAAAGAAAGAAAGAAAGAAAGAAAGAAAGAAAGGAAGGAAGGAAGAAAGAAAGTAAAAAGAAGAGGATAACAACTCCATTTATCTTTCAACCCAGGTTATTCTTTGCAGCAGTAATATAAAGCAAATGCTATTCTTACTTCTCTAAATGTAAACCCAAATCCAACTTGACTTTTCAGATCTTAATTGTAAGCAACTTTTTCTTGGAAACAATGCTGAAATTATCAGAGATCACAAAATAAAATTTGTTGTCATATTTTTAGACTGAAATATGTCTATTTTAAATCAAATCTCAAACCAGAGGAAAAATAGATACATAAGAAGATAGGCAAGGGATGGGAAGGGGAAACAAAGGAGGAGGCTACAATGCTTGATAAGAAATGCACTCATTATCTTGCCCATGTAATTGTAACCCCTCTGTACAGTATTTTCACAATAAAAAATTATATTAAGTGAAAAAGAAGATAGGCAATATTAAATTGCTAAATATTTTGTTTTTCTATTCTACAGCTATGTCATATCTGCACCCAAAGTACTGCGTGTTGGTGCATCTGAAAATGTCGTGATTCAAGTCTATGGGTACATGGAGGCATTTGAGGCAGTAATTTCTATAAAAAGTTATCCTGATAAAACATTTACTTATGCTTCAGGCTCTGTCACCTTATCCCCAGAAAATAAATTCCAAAACTCTGCCATCCTAACAGTATGTATTTATCTTTCATTTTCTTTACATTTGTAGGGTATGTCTGTAACTATTTTTGTAAATGTGTGCATATTTCTGTACATATGTACAGAGATTCTAGGGGTTCATTCAGACCTGTGTTTCTTCAAAGTGATTTTTGATTTAAAAAATTATCAATTGAAATTTCATAGAGCTTAAGATTAGAATCATTGTTTTTATATTCTTTTGAATTTGTTTTATAAGTCTATTTTTATTTTTAAAATATCTAAATAGCATAAGCATAAGTTTATATCTAGTTTTAGGTTTGCACATAGTTGAGACAAAGTACAATATATTATAAAAAGTTGTGAACCCTGAGAAATTTCTGTAACTTTTGAATTCTTTTAAAATGGAGGTATAATGCTGGGAGCTAGTGACTTATGCCTGTAATCCTAGCTACTCAAGAAGCTGAGATTTGAGGATTTCAATTGGAAGCTAGCCCATGCAGGAAAGTGTGAGACTCTTACCTCCAATTAACCATTAAAACTGCTGGAAGTAGAGCTCTGGCTCAAGTGGTAGGTAGAGTGCTAGCTTTGAGCAAAAAAGCTCAGGGACAGCTCCCAGTCCCCAGAGTGAAAACCTCAGGGTTGGCACCAAAAATAAATAAACAAATAATGAGGTGTATACATTACTTGTGTTTGAGAAACATTGATTTAAATAAATTCTAACCAAAATCTTTCTCTCAATAGGCTTTAAAAAAATAGTACTGGGCTTTGAGCTCAGGACCACTCACTTGCCAACAGCTCTACCACTTGAGCCACTCCACCAATACTTTTTCTGTTAGTTAATTTGTAAGATTGGCTCTGACTTACGCCTGGGCCATCTTGTACTGTAACTCCCCTATCTGTGCTTTCTCATATCATTGAGATGACAGGCCCCTGCCATTATGACTAGCCACTGTGTTTCCCCCACAGTTCATATAACAAGTACATGCCACCCTATGTCTGGACATTGGTCAAGATGGAAGCCCACAAACCGATTTTTGCCCAGGCTGGCCATGAACTGCTATCCTTCAATCTTGGCCTCCCAAGTAGCTTTTGATAGTAAAATGTTCTCATCTCTTAACAAATACGCTCACCTGGGTCTATTAAACATTAAAATTCATTTTCCCAAAGTGTTATTTGCAGTAAATAAAACTTACTTAGTAATGTGCAAGGTAATCATGAGTCCCCCTTATGGACATTGACCTTTAAATTTAGATCAAACAAGTGAAACTGAAACCCAACATTGACTTCCGCATTCTCAGGTTAGCCCCAAGTGCTCAGGTAACCAGGTGACCTGTGGCTGCCATATTGGACAGCAGAGTCCTAGAACATTTCCATTGACACAGAAAGTTCCAGATGGTTAATTGAAAAAGCCAACAGAGTGGGAAGATCACAAATGTTGATACATGTCTTAAGCATTTAATTTCATCTTATTATAAAGCATTGTCTCAGTTGTTTGATGCTGAGCCATTGTTTTCTCTTTGAGTACATTGACTGTGGTGTATGTATTACAGCTTTAACAACTTGTTGCTGGTCTGAACTTGGTCTTTTGGATACTTGCAAACCAACCTGAGTACAGAAAATCTAAAGATCTTTTCCAAATTTCTCTAATACTAATCACATACTTTGTGACTTGATGATAATGACTCTCAGCTTGTGTTTCCTTGAGCTTAAATTTTCATAGTAACCCTTGTTTTGCTTTTATTGCCTATGCTAATGTATGAAATTCACTTGCTACAGAATGTAAATGGGGTTAAATTGCAATTTACATGCACAAGTTTGAGCGTACACCTCTACTCTGGGGGAGCAGAAGGGTGTGATTTAATACAAAATTTAACACCTCCGTCCAGAGGTTGCTTGTATATGGAGAATGGAGAAGGCAGATTAACTGGCTGCCTGAGTGAACGCAAGGTTTCTTATGAGTTTGGGGCAGTGGTTTAATTAAGCAGATGAAAATATTAGGAAATGAAAAGGTTTTCAATTGCTTAAAGCTGAAGTTTGATTATGATTTTAGACACTGAAGGAATTTGGGTGGTCTCTGAACCACTCTTTATTTGTTTGGGTTGGTTGGTGTTCTTTTTTAAAATTGTTTCTTTTTTCTTTCCTTATTATTATAAAGGTGATAATATAGAGGGATTACAGTTACATAAGACAGGTGTGAGTATATTTCTTTTTGGATAATGTCAGCCTTTCTGTTTCTTTTTTTCTCCTGTTTTTGATTTTGTTTTTGGTTTTTGAAACAGGATCTCACTGTGTAATCGGCACTACCCTAGAATTTGGAGTACTCTTGTCTCAGCTCCCAGAGTGACTTTTTAAATGATCTCTCTCTCTCTCTCTCTCTCTCTCTCTCTCTCTCTCTCACACACACACACACACACACACACACACTTTTGTTCCAATGAGAGCCAGATCCTTCATTTCTTTTCTTACTGTAGGAGGCAGATGTCTCATTAATGTTATTGTCAAGGGAGGGCAGAGGAGAGAGTCAAGAATTTGTTGAAAACAAGAACAGGATTTGTTGAAAACTTTACCTAGCAGATACTCGCTACGTGTTGGTGTGGTTTTTAGGAAATCAACATGTTTTATAACCTCAGAATTATATTCCTTTTCCACCAACATTCTCTTTACAGATACAACCCAAACAACTGTCTAGAGAACAAATCTCAGATTCACATGTGTACCTGGAAGTGATATCGAAGCATTTTTCAAAATCAAAGAAAATGCCAATAACCCATGACAATGGGTTTCTCTTCATTCAAACAGACAAACCCGTATACACTCCCCATCAGCCAGGTAGAGTATAAGGTATTTCTTTCTTTGTGGGAAAATCAACACTATATTTATTGTAGGACTTTTTAACAACTGAAATAGAATGTGAACAGATTTCCATCTTGCTTTTAAAACAGATGAAATTCTTTAATGACTTCTATGCTTTCAAATATGAGTTTGATTTCTAAATAAGCTACAAAATCAACTATTACTAATCTATCCTATTAGTTATTTCCAAGGAAAAAAAAGAGCTTTTTGAACATATATTAGGACTTAAGCAAGGTGTTAAACAAGTAGCAGCTAGAATTAAGACTACAGCTTTGCCCTTTCTACCTCTAGAATTCCACATATACTGTTGCCCTCTAGTCCCTTAAAATCTACCCATGGCTGATTTTTTCCCCCACCCACATATATTTCACTGCCAAGCATACAGAAGGCAGTCAACAATTTTTGAAAAACAAGTCATGTCTTGTTCTAAAACTTTTATTGATCTTGCTCTGAGACATCAGTACTGTGAAAACAAGATTAATGTTCTGACCTAATCACAAACTGGACATGTAGTAGTCATTGAAATAATAATTTTATTTTAGTTTTTGCTTATTTATTATGTACTGGGCTACGCAAAGCTTCTATCCTTTTTTTTTTAATAGCTCACAGGGTTTGAACTCGGAGCCTGGGTGCTGTCGCTAGGCTCTTATGTTCAAGGCTAGCATTCTACCACTGTGAGACACATCACCACTTCCAGTTTTCTGGTAGTTAATTGGAGAAAAGAGTCTTACAGACTTTCCTGCCCTGGCTGGCTTTGAATCACAATCCTCAGATCTCAGCCTAGTGATTAGCTATGATTACAGGTATGAACCACCAGGCCAGCTCTGCAATCTTCTCAGGAGAACACTAGAAGGAGAAAATGTTGTTTCTCATTCATGACTGAACTAAAGTTTAAGGGAATTACTTGTCTGCCTCAAGGTCACCATTGGATGTAGAAGACCACAGTGAAACTAAGCTTTGGAACTCCAGGGTTTTACTTTTGCTGTATACGGTCTCTGAAATTATCCACCGGCTCTCAGGCCTGGACTGGGTGTATGTGTAGATAGATGGGAGGGAGGATTTGATTGAGGTGGGTGACACAGGAGGGGAGGGAGAGAGCAGAATGTGGAGATTTACTGAGTGCGTTGTTGTGTTATCTTGTGCTTTCCTGGGGCATCTTGTAGAGTTTTACATGATGCTGATCCTCTAAAAGGGATTAGGCTTTCTGTGTTCCTTGTTTTATTATTTGTTCTGGCCATGAAATCACTGCGCATCAACAAAACCCTAAAGGAAGGACAAAGTCTTTGGAAGGAATTCAATCAATGGGCCATGAATTGAAAACTAAACAGAGTCTCGCTTCAGCAGCATGTGTACTAAAAATTGGAACCATACAGAGAAGATTAGCATGTCACCTGTGCAAGGATGAGAAACAGATTCGTGAAGCTTTCCATCTTGTATCTGCTTGGGGGAGAGCTAGGGGGAGTGAAGAAATAGAGGGACAAAGGCTGAACAAATGCAGTAGTGGTACTCACTAGACACTATGTGGAAAATGAACTATAGACCTTGTGGTGGGAATGGGAGGGAAAAACTGTATGAGAGCTAGGGAAGGGGTGACACTGTCTAAAAAGAAATTTACTCTTTACCTGACTTGTGTAATTGTAACGCTTCTGTACATCACCTTTATAAAAACAATAAACAAATAAGTAAATAAATAAATAAATAAGGCAACTAAACAGAGCCTTTTGCTGAATGAATAGAAGTCTATTGGCAGAAAGAAATGGAAGGAAATGAACCATTGGCTCCTGCCATAGTCCTTTTAATAATGGGAGAACAATTGTAACATGTGGCTCAATAACTAAAACTATACAATTTGAATTTGCCTTTTGCACTAAGTTTAGGAGCCTTATTGGTTTATTTAAGTTTGAGTGTATGTATCATGGCTAAATCAGGGTTTCATTACAATCTTCGGCCCTAATATACAACAGTATTCTTTTTTTTTTTTACTTCTTTTTTTCTTTTAATAGTAAATGAGACTTAATAAATAGATTTCATGTTAAAAAAAAAAAGTCTGGGGCTGGGAAGGTGGCTCAGTGGTAGAGCGCTTGCCTTGCATGCTCGAGGCCCTGGGTTCGATTCCTCAGCACCACATAAGCAAAAAGAAAAAAGCCAGAAGTGGTGTTATGGCTCAAGTGGTAGAGCACTAGTCTTGAGCTGAAGAGCTGAGGGACAGCACCCAGGCCCAGAGTTCAGGCCCCATGACCCACCAAAAAAAAAAAACAAAATAAGAATTAATGGAACATAAGTAGAAGCTTTTTTTATTAGAATATTTTAAAATAGGATGTATTTCATACTAATCTTTTTTGTTGGAATATATTAGATGTGTGAAAGTGTTTCAGTTATGATATTGAGGTCCATTAATATAATATACTTGGACCAAACTCATCCTCCATTATTCTTTCTTATTTCTTCATCTTCTTTTAAAATAATTTTAAGAAGTTTGTTATTCTAGGATGTTTGTGTTTTATTCAAAGGATCCTGAGGGATCAAAAGTTGATGTGGTTGAAGAAAATGATTATACTGGAATTATCTCTTTTCCTGACTTCAAGATTCCTCCCAATCCCAAGTATGTAAAAACACTTGTTAATAAAGTTGTCTGTAAACAGCCTATGTGGAACTTGAATGTTGAAGTAAAATATACAGTCCTGTGGCACCACCTAGCGTTGACAAAATATACCACAAGGGTGATATGCCTTTTATTTCCTTAAAATTTTTTTCCTTCTTAAAAAAATTATCTTTAAGTAGCTGTACAAAGGAGTTGCCATTTAACAAAGAGTTTTGTTAATGCAATATGTCTTGATCAATGTCCCCCCTTTCAACATTCTCACCCATCCCTCCCCTACCCACCCCTTCTCACTCTTTTTAATTGTGTAGGATATACGTGAAATTCACACATTCCCCCCCACCGCCCCCCGCTTCTCTTCATTTGTCTACTGCTTTCCCCGTCTACTGAGAAATAAGATTCCCTTCACCATCGAACCCCTCTCACCCCTGCCCAGCAAACAACAACAACAAAAAACATTCAAGAGCCCAGTACCACTTGCCTGTACTACCAGACTGTCAGGAGGCAGAAGCAAGAGGAGCTCAATAGTTCAGAGGCAGCTTGGGCAACATAGTAAGACCCCATATGCTTTGCTCATTATGTCTACAAATAGAAAGAAAATTTGGGAAGAGAAAAAAATAGTCCTTGGGCTTTTTTCTTCTTTTTCATCCAAATCGTCATCTCTTGTCTCTGAAAGGCTCAAATAGTCTAGCTATTTAAGAGTGTTAAAAAAAAACACAGCCCTGTTGGTTTTGTCTGTATAGACTACCACAGGATAGCTTGTAGTGAATCCATTGTATTAAAATTCTCTGAGAATTTTCTATTGAAATTGTGAGAGTTAAGTCATTTGGATCATTTTTACATTGTATACTTTTGTGGAAATACTCTGTGCTTTATAGAGCAGAACTGAACTTGTTATTTTATTGCTATTATCATTTCTCTCTAGCCTTATTTTGTGCCCCTTGCCCCAGGATGGAGGATTACATATCAGCCATGCGAGTCATTCACCATCAGTGCTTTCCCACCTCAGCACCTTTGCACATGCTGTTTTCTCATAAAGCTAGCTTCTTCTTACCTTTAGGGAAAGGTTGGCTTTGCAAAGACACTCACTGGATGCGTTCTCTCTCTCTCTCTTTATATTTTCTTCGTAACATTTATCTTAATCTATAACTATTTATTTGTTTGTTTTTATTCCCCTCTTGATTTTAAACTCCTTAAGGGCAAAATCCTTTTTTTCTTCTATTTCTTACTATATGTTAGTACTTCAGTACAATATGTATTTGGTAAACATTAGCTGAATTGCTATGATAATGATAGCCATAATATTAATATTTATGGCTACATAACCAATTTACAAAATTGTTTCTCAATTTGCAACTTATATTAATTTCCCCACCTTAAAACCTAGTAGAAAAGAGAAAAGTGAGGATTTGAACTCACATGGACAATTAACTCTATGAGCACCATAACTCTTGTGTTATTTTCAAGTTGTGGGGTGTGTGTGTATATGAGCTTGAACTCAGGGCCTTGTGCTTTCACTAGGCTTTTTTGCTCAAGGTTAGTTGTTGCTCTAACACTTGAGCCACAGCTCTACTTCCAGTATTTTCTGGTCAATGGAATAAGAATCTCATAGACTTTTTTTGCCTGGTCTGGTTTCAAACTTTGATCCTCAGATCTCAGCCTCCTGAGTAGCTAGGATTGACAGGTGTAAGCTACCATTGCCTGGCTTTGTTCAAGTTTTTTATATCTAATGATTACTCTTAGTAGTCAATAAATATTTTTGAGTAGAAGTTGTTAAATAAACTGGTGTTTTCTTCTTTAAATAAGCCCTCCATTGCCTCCAGCCATCTTTTCATTTATATGAGATATGAATGTTATCATTGGACAGGCTTGACTTGCATTACATGTTTCTAGAGACCATCTTGTACATCTTTTATTATATTGCAGATTTCCATTGTATGTTAGTATGGTAACATACAAGATTAGGTAAGATCCAAAGTTGACATCGATCAGTTTAAGTCAAAGCTAATGACTATGTTAAGATAAAATACCTAGAAAGTAACATAATATCTGAAGAAACGACTAAACGTTTTCTACTATCCTAAAATGCTCGATTATTTCTATTTGCCTAAAAAAATCTCATGCAGCTGGGTGCCAGTGACTCACACCTGTAATCCTGGCTACTCCAGAGGCTGAGATCTGAGGATCAAGGATCTCAGTTAGAAAGCCAGTCTGGGCAGGAAAAGTCCACGAGACTCTTATCTCCAATGAACCACCACAAAGCTGGAATGGTAGAGTGCTAGCTTTGAGCACAAAAATGCTCAAGAATCAGCCCTGAGTTCAAGCCGTAGGACTGGCACAAAACAGAACCCAAAAGTCACTCACACAACAGTCACTTAAGCGACATATGTATTCTAACTTCTTTTAAATGGGAATTGATTAGATCTCCTCTAGGTAAACTAAAGATATTTGTTCCCATCTATAATTTTAAATATTTTGCTTCCCTAGATATGGTGTATGGACAATTAAAGCTAAATATAAAGAAGACTTTTCAACCACAGCAGCCACATCCTTTGAAATTAAAGAATATGGTAATTACTCTGACCATTAAATGCTAACCTAGAATGAGTTAAAAGCTTTTTCAAATCTCTAATGCAAATCTCTCTGTGATGGAGATGAGGCATCCTCCTGGTAAGGTTGGAAGTAGTTGTTGGAGCCTTGGGGAGGTGGTGGGTGGCTGCCTAAATGCCTAAACTCTGGTTCCAGCATGCCCCGGGGACGTTGGATGATGATGATGATGATGATGATGATGATGATGATGATGATGATGATGATGATGA